GGGATCCAGAGCTGCATGCACTTCATGACCCTGAAGAAACTCAACCGTCTGGCTCATATTCGGCTGAAGAAGGGGCGAGATCAGACCCATGAGGTACCGTGAGGCCAGCGATTGAAAGGACCGCCCCCTGGCTGGGAGGGGCCTACAGGTCTATGGAGCAGAGGCTTCCTGGGAAACTCGGCTGCCGACACTGTAATAGCCACAATGAATGAAAACGCGGCACCAGTTTGATTCGATTCTCACCTGGCACCTCCTGGTCGCCCCACAAGGCCATTGTGCACAGGCTGGGGGTGGGGTGCCAGCCAGTGTCCCTGAATCTCCTGGGTTTCACCGTTCCCGAAAATCTGCCTTCTCTGGCTGGCAGCCTTGATCTCTTGCCATCTGCTCTGAGGGGTGTGGTGTTGCCGGCATGCTTCCCGGGGCGACCGGCCCGTCACAGCAGCCCCTGCGCATTGCATGGGATCATGATTAGCCGGTTAAACGTTCCATTGAACTGGTGGACTTTTAACTGGGATTTCCCATCCCTGGTTGCTCTTCTTTTTGGCTTCATCTGCACTGAGGTTTTCATGCTCCCCGCTGACGTTCTTTCAGGCAAAGCAGAAGGTAGACGCCTATCACCTGCAGCTCCAGAACCTACTCTACGAGGTGATGCATCTGCAGAAGGAGATCACCAAATGCCTGGAGTTTAAGTGAGTACTCAAGGGGGCTTAGGGAGGGTCCGATTCCTCGAGTCGCAAGGAGAGCCTAGTTCCAGTCGCTGAAGGATCACGCGAGCCCTGTGAATCTGGCATGGGCTCTGGGTGTCCGGGAGGTTCCTGGGGCGAGCGGGAGACTGGCGGGCAGGGGAGAGTCGGGATAAAGACCGGGAAGGTTTTGGTAGGAATGTGCTGGTCTAAGGCAGTTTTCTTGGGAGCAGCTTCTGACACGAGTCTCTCCGCTGCCTCAGCGGTGCTAGTCCAGAGGCTGCGCCTTTCATAGTCACGTCTGCGCTGCTGCAAGGCGAGTCTGTCCCTGGGCTGGGCACCCAGGAAGGGACTGGCCCAGTTCAGACACGAACCCGGAGCCCAGTGGAGCCTCTAATTTCTGTGGCCAGCAGGTCTCCTCATTTGGCAGCTTATGTCCCGTGATGGCCCAGCCCTGCACGTGGCTTCCCAGCCTCATCCCTCCTCCGTCTCTGCAGGTCAAAGCACGAGGAGATTGAGCTCGTGAGCGTGGATGAGTTTTACAAAGAGGCTCCTCCAGAAATCAGCAAGCCCAACATCACCCTCAACGAGCCCCACCAGCAGACCCTGGCCCGCCTTGACTGGGAGCTGGAGCAGCGCAAAAGGTGAGCAGCAGGCCACGTGGCCACCGGTCAGATCGGTCCTGTCTCTGCCTGGAGCCAGGGTTTGCCGGCTCATACGTCACAGTCCAGGGCCACGTGGCCACCGGTCAGATCGGTCCTGTCTCTGCCTGGACCCAGTGTTTGCCGGCTCATAGGTCACAGTCCAGGGCCACGTGGCCACCGGTCAGATCGGTCCTGTCTCTGCCTGGACCCAGTGTTTGCCGGCTCATAGGTCACAGTCCAGGGCCACGTGGCCACCGGTCAGATCGGTCCTGTCTCTGCCTGGACCCAGTGTTTGCCGGCTCATAGGTCACAGTCCAGGGCCACGTGGCCACCGGTCAGATTGGTCCTGTCTCTGCCTGGACCCAGTGTTTGCCGACGTGTACATAAAACCCTAGGGCCACGTAGCCATTGGTCATAGAATCATAGAACCATAGAGCTGGAAGAGACCTCAGAAGGTCACTGAGTCCAGCCCCTTGCTCTAGGCAGGACCAGTCCCAACTAAATCAACCCGGCCAGGGCCTTGTCAAGCCGAGACTTAAACACCTCTAGGGATGGACTGCTAACGAGTGTGGCTTGCCCCTTGCCCTCAGCCCCCCTAATGGATAT